AACAATTAATTTTGTTAGGGTAAACAAATCTTCGAGGCTTTATACGCACGCTTCCCGCACGTAACACTATGGTCGCATACCCTGGAAGTACGCTGTAGTAGTGCTTATATCACATCGCGTCGTAGTGATGTTGGGAGTAATCGTTAGTGGTCAGACCTACACTCTTGAAAGAGACTGCAGTTAGTGTTGGTGGTTACGTACGGTAAGAGTTACTCTGGGTATTGAGTTAAGAAGAATCATGTCGAAATTTGTGTGTGTCGTAATATCATGCGTGCTCATTGCGGCCCAGAAAACGGAATGGGACTCCCCAGAAAATATGCACAACTATCGGAATTTTCGTAAATGGATATTTCACAAATTTGGTAGGTAACAACTTTGTATCAGTGAGCTCGGGCATTTCTTTTTCGACGTCGCACAATACCGCAATATAAAAAACATGTAATTGATAATACAGAGGGTTATACAGACCTCTCCGTGAAATCGAGTATTTTTTAGGAATTCTCCCGAGCTATGTTACTGATACTTGAGGCTTATTCGAAACGTCGTAGATTGTAACGCTAGGCCCGATATTCAGTGTGTACATTGCAGAGATACAACCAAGTCTTTTCAGTATAACCGAATAGAATAATTTCGGTAAAATTGCTTATTCGGTTCATTGCATTGTATATACATATTACAAATAGCGCACGACGTAAAGAAGTTATGCTATCTCGTTCTAAGTAAAGGTCTTCAGTATAATCAATTCTTCCTCAAGATTTTGCAAAAAGTGCACTTACTTCAATAAAAAGTAAACTCTTGTAAACTTTGTAGCTTTTTTGCATTAGGCATTAAGATACCTAGACCTCGAGAGAGGAATAAATCGTCGATACAAAAAATTCTGTATCTGAATATATTTAAAAGGTATATAAAAAATATATTTAAAAGTATACAGTCATAAAAATATTATTACTCAGGAGAGGAGCAGTCACGTAGACCTACATCGGTGTATTTACAGCGGCTTCAGAAACAACTACCTCCAGATGTTCAATTCCCCTGCAATGTTACTGGTAGCTAATTATCCAGATTACAGATGTGTTAAATTCGACTAAAACCTATGTACGTACATTCCTTTCTATTCCTCGTTAATAACAGAAGATACTGTCTTTTAGGTGGAAGGTCTCCAAAAGTACCAGATTCAGTTCATCGTTTAAGACCTGGTGATATCGATGTGATTGCTGCGATGGGCGATTCTGTAACAGCTGGTGCTGCTATTTTTGCATCCAATATAATGCAGATACTTGTCGAGAATAGGGGAGTTGCTGCGAGTATCGGTGGACAGGGAAATTGGCGAACGTTTTTAACACTTCCTAATATTCTAAAGGCATGTTTGTTTTTATTTTTTCGAATATTACGTCAGTGTGGTACGTACCAGGGCTTGGATACTATGTTTTAACCCTTTGCGGACGAGTGTTGGCATATAGCCGCCCAAGCCTTTTTACCATTCCGGACGCGTGTCGGC